TCACTCTCTACTTGTGTTCTTAATTATAATATATTCAAGCTCACTATGAAGATAAACATTTCACATTTTTAATATCTATTGTTCTGGTGGGTTAGTTGTAAGGAATGGCCCTACTAGTGAAAAAAGGGTACATGGTTTGAATCCATAGCTGCACCATGGGAGAAAGATGGTCATTCTCCTTCTGTGTAATTTACTGCCTCTGAAAGCCTGCTGGAGTATCAGCTATGGGTAATTTCTGACTCAGTAGTACCCAACAACAGCAACAACATTGCTCTTAAAATATTTGTGTTCATCATTTTGTCTTTGAGCAATTTAACTTTTTTCTTTCCTTTACACATCCCTGTAGGGGATTAGGGTTAGGTTATGACTTTCAGGAATGTCTAATCTCACATTATGCTGTAAGAAGCTATCAGCAGTGAATTGGAGCTAAGGCGCATAATTGATAAGATTGTCTGCTAAAATGAAACATACTGTTTATCATTTTGTCTTTGGAAATGTTTTCCTAACCACTGCATCTTTATACACATAAAACTATCATTGTTAAATGTTTGTTTTGCCACCTGGACAGTGAACTTTGAAATCTCACCCTCTTTAACACTGAAAGCCCACTGGATGGTAAGCTATTGGTCAGTCTGACTGGTCAGTCTGGTACACAGCAACAGCATCCAGATGATATCTTATAATTCTAGTTCTCAGAAGAAATCTTGCTTTTTGTGTGTTTGTTCCTTTGTAGGAATAAGAGAGATATTTCTGTCAGAAAGTGAGTAAGAAACCATTCAGCTCATAATTATACAACAAGGCTTCACAGAGAGGTAGTCTGTACATTAGGTTGAAAAGCAACTTTGCCATTCAGCAGCGACTCTAATAATATACCAGAAGGCATCATGGTTTGCTCTACTTTAGTTCTTTGAAGGAGCTCTGGTGCATAGAGTGTTGTTTTTCGCTGCTGAGTGAAAGGTCAGTGGTTCCACATGATGGACAGTCTCCACCAATAAAAATTTACAGCCTTTGAAATCTCATGGGGGGGTCACCATGAGCTGGAATAGACTTGATGACAGTGGGTTTGATCTCTGGTGGCTTCATGACAAAGAGCTTTGCTGCCAACTCAAACGCACATGGTTCGAATCCATCACCAGCTCCTCGGAAGAAGTATGGGCCATTTCCTCCCATGTGATTTTCTGCTTCTGAAAACTTACTGATGGGTTCACTATGAGTCAGTTCTGACCCAACAGCATGGAACAACAATGATGAGTCATCCTGGTATAATGTGTTATGTGTTGAACTGCTAGCTAAAAAGTTGGTGGTTTGAATCTACCAGCTGCTCCACAGGAGAAAAAAATGAAGTTGTCTCCTAAAGGCTTTCCCATCTTGGGAATCTAATGGAACTGACTCCATGTCAGTGAATTTGGTTTGAGTGTTTTGTAGTGACTGAGAGCAGACTGGGAGAGGCATGCGGTACAAATGAGCAAAAAGAACTCTGTAGAAGGGGCTTGTGAACATGGCGGATACTTTGACTGTACATTTCTCTTACAACTTTATTTATCTGAACTTTGATTTATACAGATGAAAATTAAATGGTCTAGGACTAAGTAGATAGCCTTTCAGCTCTTCTACAATTTTAATACACACTGAATTGCTCTGCATTTTAAAACTAGAATGTGGAAAAAGAAGGAAACTGAAACTCACAAATAATAACTAATGTAAGTTTTAAAATAAGACTTACTTTATATTTGGCCTGGGAATTCAGATTTGGAAAACATCTGTCTGTAACTTAATTCATATTACATATTTTATACTTCGAGACTAACCAGAAATTTATTATATTACTCACAGATGTTTGTTAGAATTTTGCAATTCCATAAAACATCTTTAGAAAATCTTCTCAAGAAGCCAAATTCATTTTTCAAGTAATATGTATTTTTGTGCATTTAAAGAATAGAAATTTTAATTTTGTTTTTGTATGTAACTCAGTTTGGAAACCTATAATGTATAAAAAAATTGTGGAACAGTATCAGATATTATAAATCCATTTAAACTATGTTTTTCTTTCACTAGGTGTGAAATGAAAATCTATAATGAATTTCTTCATGAAGCTATTTTTGTTATTTGTAAAAATGCAAATAAAGTGAGCTAATTAAACACTGAATTTTTCTTTTCCATTTTATATTAATAATAATTTACAGACTATTGATAACAAGAAAAACTTCTTTCCATTACATTTTATTGAGACTATATTTGATATTTAAAGAAGCATAATTTTTGGAAGATAGTTTTATGTCTTGAAAATGTATCCTTAGTTAAAGAGATACTTTCTAAATAAGCAAGTCAAAATTAACATGGAAAGAAGAAAATATATTATCTTAATATCTGAAAGATTTCTTCCATGAAGACAAAAATGTCATTATCTCCTCTTTTAAAATAAAACCAAACTTACTTTCAGGTGTAATTATTCTAGATTGCTGAATACTTTCCCCCCCATATTCCTAAATTCTAATTTAAGAAATTATTTCTCCTCCACACCACCCTGCTCCAAGAAAGGAGTAAAGAGGGGGGAAATTTCTATTTTATATTTTTAAATAAAAAGTAAGGTAGTTTTTATTAATTTAGATACAAAAATGGATTAATTTTACATGGGTGATTTCGTTAAAAATATATACCATAGCATAGTTAGTTAATAAGAGTCTTGTTAAAGTAAATGTGGAATTAATGTGGTTTTTTAACATTTAAAAATACAAGATAACATTTCTGATCCTGACTATTGGAAATAAAATGGAAACAGTTTGTTATGTCTTCAGAAGGAATGTAGGGGAACTTATGAAGTATGTGCTTCTTAAAATGAATATAAATTGCTGTTCTTGTTTATAATTTAGATAAACCAAAAGAGAAAGTTAATAAATTAAGTGAATGTGAACTATCCAACTCTCCGCTACTTTTTGAAGATGGTCCTCCTGATTTACAGTCTCAAGGAATTCCTTGCCAAGTGAACTTGGTGGAACAGAACGATCTTCAAGTACTCCAGAACTCAGTTGTTTTTGGAACATCAGCTGAGGAAGTGGTAAAAGAAATACGTTTCAGAATTGAGCAAAAAACAACATTGACAGCCAGTGCAGGTACTTAAAGAAATATTGATGATTACAATAGTTATAATTTTCAAACTGATAAACTCAAGTGCAATATTAGTAGTTTCTCATTATAAAATGTGTGTGATAATATTTTATCTGTCAGTTCCTCTCAACTTTATGTACTTTGAATAACTTTGAACCTATTAGTAAAAAGGAAGTTAAGAAAAACAAACCTTTTTCAGGTTTAATAACCTTTTGTATTTTTCTAATTTTTAACATTGTTTATTTGCATGTATGTTTACTAAGAATTGTTGGCCTTTCATTTAATCATTAATACACTGTTTTATAATATTGATTACAATTGACTGATGTAATTAGCTAACTAAAATGTCTGATCGACCTCTTTTTTAATAAAATATTTTAATTGTCATTTTAACCAAGGTTAACAGATTTTCATCCATTCATTTGTGCACATTTTTACGCCCCTTCCTCCTCCCTCAGTTCACTTCTATTTTTTAAATATTCATTCATTGTTGCACAATTATACCCCCCAAGTCCTCTTTACAGTGTACCTCTTATTCTGGGCTATTGTTGTACAGTAAAAAACCTTTAAGCTGAGAGAAAATACTGTTGTAAAATTAACTTAGCTCTCCTTTTAAAAATATGAATATATTTAAATATATTATTATGTTAAGGTATTGTTAATATTGTGTTTAATAGTGAATTTGCTTATTAACTTGCCCTTTGAAAACATCAGTCCTGTCTAAGATTGCATTGCCAGAGTGAACCCAGATAGGAGGCAAGAGAAATCCCAGCAGAAAGCACAGCAATCTGTTAAGGGAGATACAAGTTTACATTTGTGAATTGTCCCCAAAGGCATCAGTGTATTCTTGCATAGTAATTGTTACTCATAATATTGTTGTTGTTGTGTGCTGTCAAGTTGGAACCAACCTATAGTGGCCCCTCCAGCAGGTTTTCAAAGCCAAAAAATCATAATGAGGACCCTGAATTATTTTGCAAAAGTCATATTATGATTAGGTTAAGCTTTCCTTTTTATATCAGAGGTTGAGAATGAGTACTAAATTTTGGCAAAAGGTGTATAAAATTGAAATTAACTGTTTAATGACTGTATTTGAATATACCTATTTCCAATTATGTTAATCGTTAAGACTGGTAATCTTCTGGACGTCATAAAAGACCACTGGTGGCCCAGTGGTAAAGAATTGAGTTGCCAAACCAAAGGCAGATGGTTAGAATCTACTAGATACTGTGGGAAGAGTACAAGAGGTCTCCTCCTGCACAATTTATAACCTCTTAAATTCTGCTAGAGGGTCAACTCTGTGTCAGTTTCAACATGACTTATAGCAACACACATTATAACATACTTGTCTAAAAAAAGCAATAATTTGCTTTTTGAGTAATATAAAAGGTAGCTTTTGTTGTTAGGTGTCCTTGAGTCAGTATGACTCATAGCGACCCTATGAACAACAGACCTGAATCCTGTCCTGTCCTTACACTTGAGCCCACTGCTGCAGTCACCGTGTCAGTCCACCTCATTAAGAGTTTCCCCTTCACTGTCTCTCCACCATTCCAGGCATGATATCCCTTTCCAAGGAATAGTCTCTCTTAACAATATGCCTGCAGGATGAGAGATGAAGCTTGATGCCATCCTTGACTCCAAGGACCGCTCTGGCTGCATCTTTTCCAAGATATATCTGTTCATTCTTTTGGCAGTCCATGAGACTCAAAGAGACCATATTAGAACTCAGAGACGTTGGGTTTTTTCTTTTTGTTACGTCTATGCAAAAGACTTTAAAAAAAAAATTTTACAGCATATTCTTCCCATTTTATTTTTCCGCATTCATTCATTGTTGCACATTTTCCTCCCTGCCTACCCCTCCCCCCAGTTCACTTTTCTCTTTGAAAAGAAAAAAAAATTCTTTGATTGTTATACAATCTCCCCCTTACTCCCCAAGTCCACAGCCCACTTTAGTATGCATTCCTTTTTCAGGAATCTTGTCGTGCCAATAACACCTAATCATATATACCTTTTAAACAGTTCTCTCCCTCACCTGTTTCAATGCTGTATACATTATTTATCCACTCTTCTTTTCTTAGGTTCCCCCCAACCCTAATGTCAATCTCGTTTTACAACAGTGGCACTATGCAGTATTTGTCCTTTTGTGACTGAGATATTTCACTCAGCATAATGTCCTCCAGGGTTATCCATTTTGTATACTATTTCATGAGTTCTTTGTTTTTCAATGCAGCATTGTATTCCATTGTGTGAATATACCAGAGCTGCTCTATCCATTCATTTGTTGATGGGCACTTGGGTTGTTTCCAACTCTCTGTATTGTGAACAGAGCCGCAATAAACATGGGTATGCATGCAAAAGACTTTTCAAAGAGTAAATATCATTTCCAAGTAAGGATTTTTTCTGAAAAGTTGATATGGAGCTACTACTGTTGTTGTTGTTGATTGCCTTCAAGTTGAGTATGACTCATAACGACCCTATGAACAAAAGGCCTGAACCTCCTTTACAACTACTGACATTTATCAAAGTTTGTAGAGTTTCCAGAGGCATATTATTTAGGAAGTGGATGCCACTCCTGCTCCCAAGGAGCTACTTCTAAACAGCCTTATTTAAAACAGATAGTAATTGAACTAGTTAATATTAATAACCAAACTCAAACACTACTCTTACATTTTTGAAATAGCATGGGATTTTAAATCTCTTTCTTTTTTGCTGCTACAGTAACCAATACTCCTTTTCCTAAAACCATAGCAAGTCTTAAGGACATAGGTAGTAATCAAATGTTATTTTAAAGTAATACTTCATTTATTTAATAGTTTTCTACTTAATGTTAGTATTTCTTTCTGGTATTATCACTAAATATTTTCAAAGCATGCATATTAACTTTTTCAAGTCATCGGAGTGTTCTTCTTTTAAGGCATTGCTCCAAATACAATGTTAGCAAAAGTATGCAGTGATAAGAAGAAACCAAATGGGCAATACCAGATTCTCCCCAACAGACAAGCCGTGATGAATTTTATCAAGGATTTACCCATTAGAAAGGTGGGTGAAATTTTATATAAAATTTAACTTACATATATTTTTATATATATTCTGAGGTATGATGGGGTACTGTTTAGGCTGATGGTAGTTATTGTTTACTGAAAAGAAAACAATAGATAACAAACAAGCCTATAATAGGATTTGGTTTTAGGGAAGGGAGGAATTGTATGAGTTTTGAAACCCTAGAAATGAGGTTTAGGAAAGTTGTTTGCTAGAAGATTTTAAGGAATTGTTAGTTGACACTTTGACATGTATTCCTGCCAAGGAGAAGGGAAATAACAAATGTTCTTAAGAGTTTAAATTTATTTTTTTATCTGATAATGGTTTGCTTATAAAGTTCATATACATTGTGTTTCACACTATTGTGTTTCATACAATCATTCCCATGCATTATGCTTTATAAAATGAATCACCATTGGACCTTGACTATCTTGACCCTATCTTTACAGGTCCCTGATGGATCTTTCCCATTTCCTTCACCCATTCCCTCCACTCATCCAATTGTGCAACCCTGTGGTTTCCCCCCACCCATCCTCACCCTTCTACACCCATCTTTTCCCCCCGTGGGCCCGCATACATGTTTTATTAGTTATCCTTCTATTTTTACACAATGGTCTTATGCAAAATTTATCCTTATGAGACTGAGTTAGTTAACCTAGCATAATGCTCTCTCCAGTCTCTCCCAAGTTATGTAGTATTTTTTGGAAATCATTGCTCCTGAGTTGGCATAATATTCTGTTATGTGAATGTACACATTTCCTCAATCCATTCATTTGTGGTTGGACATTTGGGCTGATTCCATGTTCTTACAATGGTGAATAACGCTGCTATCAACAGTTTTGTGTCTCAATTCCAATTTCCTTGGTGTATATTCCAGTAGTGGAATAGCTGGGTCATAAAGAGTTTCTGTGTTCAACTTTTTGAGGAAACGCCAAACTGCCTTCCAGAGTAGTTGTACCATTTCACAGTTCCACCAACAGTGTATGAAGATTCCCACCTCTCCACATCCTCTCCAACATTTCTTGCTTGCCCTACTAAACTTTGCCACTGTTGCTGGGGTGAGATGGTATCTCATTGTGGTTCTCATATACATCTCTCTCTGCTTGTAAGAGTTTTTAAATCACTAACTTAATACTATCTTTCTTCTCATGTTGACATTGTTACTAGATTGATCTTTAGATCAGTTTAGAATTTTAATTGGTTTTGACTACAAAGTTGTAAAACTGTCCATCCCTTAGGAGTTCCAGAAAAGGGTATATTTTACTATATTTAAAGCTTATAGATTTTTATGCATATTTAAGCCTTCATATTTATAAAAGTACCGTATGGTGTTCTAGAATTTACTGTTCTCATTGAACATAATTTATGAGTAAATTTAAATTCAATATTTTCAATGCTCAGAAGAAAAGCTATAAATACAAAATAACTACTAAATAGTATATGTGAGATAAAACTATAAAGCAGTATTTTTCCAATATGCTTTTCAAAATATTAATAAGTATTTAATTAAAAAGGGCTCTGCAGTCAGATAACTTTGGAGCATACCACCTTCATGAGTCCTAATAGTTATTAGTATATTAAAGACTTTTATTAAAGATTTTTAAGTCTTGCAGTAGTCCAGTATTAATTTGTCTTATTATTTTTAAACTCATGACTAAACAACTCTTTAAAAAAAAATAAAGTGAAAAACCTTTTTAAAATTCCAGTGATCACTAGTTTAGGGACTAGTGGCCAAAAATATGCCCTGGTAAGAATGTATCATTTGTGTGACTGATTGTTGTTGTTGTTGTTAGGTGATGTCGTGGTGAGTATGACTCATAGTGACCCTATGAACAAAAGATCTGAACTCTGTTCTATCCTGCACCATTCTCCCACTTCCTGACGCACAAGAGCCCATTGCAGCAGTCACTGTGTTAATCTACTTGGTTAAGGGTGTGATACAGAGAATTATATTATTCAGACCTTTGATGAGATTATACTCTTAATTTTTAGTTTAATTTTAAAATTTGTTAATGTTAAATATTGATTCTCTTCTAGATTTCTGGAATAGGAAAAGTTACAGAAAAAATGTTAAAGGCCCTTGGGATTACTACTTGCACAGAACTCTACCAACACAGGGCATTAATTTCTCTCCTTTTCTCTGAAACATCTTGGCGTTATTTCCTTCATATCTCCTTGGGACTGGGCTCAACGCAGCTGGAGAGGTATTTGCATAGTCATTTTGCTTTTTCTTTATAATTTGCTGAAATAGGAGTTTTAACATTTTAAAATACGCTTAAACCACAGAAACTTGTTAATTCTATTCCTACTCACAGTAACTCTTACAGGATGGAGTAGAACTGCCGTGTAGGGTTTCTCAGGGTTGTGGCATAGGGATATGTCTTGGAGTGATGGGATAAATTATGTAAACTGCATTAAAACAGGTGAGAGAGAGAACTGTTTAAAAGGTATATATGATTAGGTATTATTGTCATGACAGGAGTCCAGAACGAAGGCTGAATAGTAGAGTGGACTTGAGGGGAGGGATTGTATAACAATGAAAGAATTTTTTTTTTACTTTACTAAGAGAAGAACGAACTGGAGGGGAGGGGTGGACCGGGAGAAAAGTGCAACAATGAATGAATGGAAATAAAAAATCTCTGTAAATTTTAACTAAAATTAATAATAATAAAAATAAAAATTTATAAAACCCCCAAAACAAAAAATCAATTTAAACCCACCAGCTGTTTTTTAGAAACAAGGTGGGCAGTCTTGACAAATTGATGAAGGTCACCATGAATCAGAATAGGCTCGGTGACATGGGGAGTCTCTACAGAAGCTGATGGATTCAGGGAAGGTCTGGCAGCCTCGTTATAAGGAACTGTGCTACTAACACAAAGGCCATGCCTTTCTCTCCTTGGGAGAAAGCTGGGCAGTCTCCCCTTTGCAGTTTACTGCCTCTGAAAACCCACTGGAGTGTCAGCTATGTATTGATTCTGACTTGATAGTGATGAAATGAATTTTGTGGATTCAAACCATTGACCTTTCAATTTAACAGGAGAGTGCTTAACCATTGTGCTACCAGATATGCTTAAAATTCTGTTAGACTAAGTAAAAATATTTTTTAGTTAGAGTCCACTGATTAGATGTCAACAGAAAAGTAGGAAAAAGAATAAAAAATCACTCTTTGAGATTACTAGTCCACTGCTTTCTTTTCTTTTCCTGCTGTCTTCTTTGTTCAGATCATCAGAGAAATGCAGGTCATCAAGTTACTGAGGGATAAAATAAACTTAATATTATAAATATAACTCTTCAATGAGAAGATTTAATGATTTAATGATACTTAGTGATCTACCTATAGATCTTTTCCAGATCTGTGTATCACTCACTCAGTATTGAGGATATACCGCAGATGATAACAAAGTTTGGCATTCATGAGCCTACAAAACTAGCATGGAGGGGAGCTCTGGTGGCCTAGTGGCAAGGAGCTGCAACTATAATCCCAGAGGTGCACGGTTCGAATCCACCAGATGCTCTGCCGAGGAAGGAGGGACAATCTCCTCCTGTACCAGTCAGATTTGCTTTGACGGTACACTCACACAAAAATAATGAAATAAAATAAAAAAAAAAAAACTAGCATGGAGACAAAAAAATAAGAAGTGAGCTTTCTATGAAGATGGTGACGAAAGCAAAGAAGGAAGCCCCTTCCCCTCCCAAAACTGAAGCCAAAGCAAAGGCATTAAAGGCCAAGAAGGCAGTTCTGAAGGGCATCCACAGCCAAAAAAGAAAGAAAGAAAGAGAGAGAGAGAGAGAGAGAGAGAAAGAAAGAAAGAAGGAAGATACACATGTCACCCACCTTCAGGCAGCGTAAGTCACTAAGACTCCAAAGGCAGCCTAAATCCCCCAGAAGAGCGTCTCCAGGAGAAACAAGCTTGACCACTATGCCATTATCAACTTTCCTCTGACCGCTGAGTCAGCCATGAAGAAGATAGAACATAACAACATACTTGTGTTCAATGTGGATGTCAAGGCCAACAAGCACCAAATTAAACAAGCTGTAAAGAAGCTCTATGACATTGATGTGGCTAAGGTCAACACTTTGATTAGGCCTGATGGAGAGAAAAAGGCCTATGTTCAACTTGCTCCTGACTATGATGCTTTGAACGTTGTCAACAAAATTGGGATCATCTAAACTT